TGAAGAGCATGAGGAAAGATTACTATGCAGATTTATCCCGGGAATTCCGGGAATAGAAATATTGGCCGAGCTGCCTTCCGGGGTTCAGAGTGTTAGACTGTCAGCGGCCGTGGCTTTGCCTCTCAGAATGATGCATTCCCGATTCCAAGTGGATGCTGCGATCCAGGATACAGGAATCCGGAAATGCTGCTCTTTAATAAAGGAGCTGATGGATCCTTCAGGTCAGGCGACAGGAGTTCTGTGTCTCCTGTCCCCTGGTCCAGTGAGCTCCCGCTCCTGTTATCTCTCTGTGCCCACGGGGCTCCATCTGCCACCGAGCTCCTCGGCATGGGGCGTCCCTTAGGGAACCCCGAGACTCAGAGTGGGTGTGTCTGGCGCTGTCCTGCCCCAGGGACAGAGGGGCCGGGGCTTGGGGGGGACCTCCTCCTGCCCGATGGCCCCCCGGGCGCGGCTGTAGACGCCTGTCCGTCCCGTTTCTCTCGCCCGGCTGCGGGGGGGTCCGCGCCCCGCTCCGCGCTGCCTGTCTGCTCGGCGTGCCACGCGTGTGAGCCGGCTGTCTCCCCTCCTCGCTGCCCGTGAATAATTCAGGGGCGCAGGCCTCGCTAGTGTGCTGGTGTGCGGCTGTGCAGTGACGCGGGAGCGTGGCTATTTTTGGGAGCTGAGCTCTGAGAGCCGGTGTGATGGATTGATTTTTCATGCTCGTGTTCGCGGAGTCACATGTGGTTCTGCTGCTGCTGTCGAGCCCAGAGACCAGCCAGCAGACCTGCTCTCCTGCGGCTGCCAGGGCCCGAGATTCCTGCAGCTGGGAAAACCTGGAGCTGCGCAGTTGGAGTCTGAATAACACAGTAAAACCTGGAGTGGATCAGACTGCTATACAGCTGGAGTCTGAATAACACAGTAAAACCTGGAGTGGATCAGACTGCTATACAGCTGGAGTCTGAATAATGATACTGTAAAACCTGGAGTGGATCAGACTGCTGCGCAGTGGGTTTCTGAATAATAATACAGTAAAACCTGGAGTGGATCAGACTGCTGCGCAGTGGGAGTCTGAATAATAATACAGTAAAACCTGGAGTGGATCAGACTGCTGCGCAGTGGGTCTCTGAATAATAATACAGTAAAACCTGGAGTGGATCAGACTGCTGCACAGTGGGTGTCTGAATAATAATACAGTAAAACCTGGAGTGCATCAGACTGCTGCACAGTGGGTGTCTGAATAATAATACAGTAAAACCTGGAGTGGATCAGACTGCTGCACAGTGGGTGTCTGAATAATAATACAGTAAAACCTGGAGTGGATCAGACTGCTGCGCAGTGGGAGTCTGGTCTGATTCCTTCTAGTCTTGCCCTGCTTGAAGAGTACTCTGTCCTTCCTGGCGGCAGTTTCTCCTGTGTTCTCTCTTCACCTGTTAGTCTGTAACAAATGTGTCTCTCTCCTGTGTGTCGGCTGCCTCCCTGCTGGCCTCATTCTGAAGTTCTTGGGAAAATGTCAAGGAGGTGTTTATTCGTAGAGAAGCTATAAAGACCAGGCCTGGCAGTCAGAGAGCCAGTGTGTGGGATTGTGAAGCTCCGGTCTCTTGTGTTGGGGGTGAACTGCGGTTCTGAGGGGGTGTCTGCTGTCCAGGCCCTTCCCTTTACAGCAGTTAATGGGAATCTCAGGTTGAATTCTGGGGTTCAGGGAGTCTCCCCTGTTGTCTGTTGTGAGGGCCTCTGCTGACATGGTGTGTCGCTGAAGGGCGTGATGCACTCTGATCCGCTCCAGCTGTCACTGGCTGCAGCGCTCTTGTATCGAATCCAGAACCTCCTGTACTGTGGAGATTTCAAGCCTGTTCATTTGCTGTGGTTCCGAATTGATGCAGACAAAGGTCGTGTGTGCCTTGTGGAATAGTGTGTGCAAAGTGCCAGACGACAGGTCTTGATCTCCCGAGCTGGGCTCTGGGTGACACTCAGGGGGCTGTGCAGTAGGGGTACCCACTTTCACGGACTGGCGGCCCCCTCACAGTAAGGGGAGCTGGAGAGACCCAGCCTGTCCACCTCCCTGTTGGGCGTCTGTCCCGCTCCCCTCTTCCAGCATGCTCTGCTCCTGCCCCCAGACAAGCCTGGGTGACTGGGGTCGAGGGGTGTCCGGTGCAGCGGTGCCCTGAGTCCTGGGGTGCAGACACTGGCAGGGCGCAGGGGGCGGACAGGCGAGCTTGGCGCTCCTGACGGAGTGACGCAGGAGCAGGGCGGGGCTCCTGTGGCCTCGGGGTGCTCACAGCTGAGCCCCGCTGGCCCGTGCCGTGCTGTACCAGGCATCAGGGCGGCTGTAGAGGGTCTTCTTATCCCACCTGCCCCCAGGCAGGATCCGGCACGTGGCTGGATTAAATTGGGTCACTGCGGACCTCAGCCGGAAAGCCGGGATCTTGTGAGATACAGCGCAGGGAAAGTGCTGGAGTCTGGGAAAAGACGCTGCTTTAAAAAGGCAAGCGAGAGGGCGAGAGAAACGCACGTTCCCTTCCCTGCTCCGAGGACTCGCCTCGCTATTTATAGCCGCGCGGGGAGAGCAGCAGAGACTCCCAGCGGCCTGGCAGCCGGACCTCTTCCGGAGCGCCGGGCCGGAGCACGCAGGAGTGCTGCAGGGGCGAGGAGCTCGGGTTTCGGCCCGGCCTCTTCTGATTCCTGCTCATCGATCGCAGAGAGTGAAGGGATACGGCCGTCGGGCAGCCCGATCCTCCGCTGGTCCTGCTGTGTCCCTGCGAGCAGGAAGTGGTTTTG